AATTAAATGGCTGTCTTCCATGGCATAAAGAAATATTTTCATTATTAGAATAATTATCATTTGAAAATTAGCTGCTAATTTTTAACTGGTGTAAATAATGGAATTGTTGTTATTAAGTGCCATCGAGTCGGTACCGACTCATAGTGACCTTATATACAACAAAACAAAATACTTACTGGTCCTGGGTCAACCTCACAATTGTTGTCATGCTTGATTCCATTGATGCTGCCACTTTCCCAATCCATCTCGTTGGGGGTCTTCTTCTTTTTCTCTGACAATCGACCCTACCAAACATAATATCCTTTTCCAGTGACTGGTCCCTCCTGACAATATGTCCAAACTATGAGAGACAAAGTTTGGCCATCTTGGTCTCCAAGGAGCACTCTGGCTGCACTTCTTCCAACACAGATCTGTTGGTTCTTTTGACAGCCCATGGCACTTTCTATATTCTCCTCCAACACCATAACTTATAAGCGTCAATTCTATGGTCTTCCTTATTCACTGTCTGGCTTTCACATGCACCAGAGGTTATTGAAAACACCATGGCTTGGGTCAGGTGCACCTTGGTCCTCAAGCTGATGTCTTTGCTCTTCAACACTTTAAAAAAGGTCTTGTGCAGCAGATTTGCCTAGTGCAATACGTTGTTTGATTTCTTGACTGCTGCTTCTGTGAGTGTTGACAGTTGATACAAGATAAATGAAGTTCTTGACAACTTCAATCTTTTCTCCATTGATAAGAATGTTACTTATCCAGAGAGCCAGTTTGCTTTATGGCTGATTTCACCATGTTTCCTTCTTCCCCTCCCTGCCCACACCCATTATCAGAGTTCCGGAGGAAAGGATTGGGCATTGGAAGGTTACATTAGATGAAGATTGTAAAATGGAGCCACTGGACCTCAAGTCAATCAGAAGATTCTAAGAACTGTCTTCAAAGAAGAACTGTTGCTAAATGCCAGTGAGTTGATTCCAATTCATAGTGAAAGAAACCCTATGCACAACAAAATAAAGCATTGCCCAGTCCTGAACCATCCTCACAAAAAAACAAACAAACAAAAGAATGTTATTTATTGGTCCAGTAGTGAGTTGAGATGCATTGAGATGCAATCCATACTGAATGCTGTTGTCTTTGATCTTCATCAGTAAATATTTTAAGTCCTCTTCACTTTCAGCAAGCAAGGTTGTATTATCTGCATATCACAGGTTTTTAATGAGTCTTCCTACAATCCTGATGCCACATTTTTCTTCATATAACCCAGCTTCTTGGATTATTTGCTCAGTATACGGGAGCTCTGGTAGCGTAGTGGTTACGAATCAGGCTGTGAACCTTAAGGCCAGCAGTTCGAAACTACCAGCTGCTCCATGGGAGAAAGATGAGGCGTTCTGCTCCCGTAAAGATTTACACCCTCGGAAATCCTGTACAGGGTCGCTATGGGTCAGAACCGACTCGACAGCACTTAACAACAACAACATACAAGTTGAATAAGTATGGTGAAAAAATACAACCCTGTCTCACACCTTTCTTAATTTTAAACCATTCAGTGTTCCCATGT